CACTGATTATACATCTACTGTCTCTGCTGCAGACTTCATTTCCAGGTCAAACAGTCTCTTCTTGTTTCTGATTCATTTGGAGTATTTTAGATTGTTGCTCATTTGTAGTGGAGATTTAGAACCTTCTTGAAAATATGGGTCTGTCTGTTCTTGCAGTGGATTTTGAAAAGAATGAACTCTGAACACTAAACTTTAACCTGCTCTGTAACGTTCAACCTGTTCGTCAGACACTCAAGTGGATGTTTTCCATCTCAGAGGATAATTTTCCTGCAGGTCAGACTGAGAACTCACAACGGCCCGATGTTGATCTGGTGACTGAAGCTGCCTCTGACACCAAAGTTTTGGATCTCAAACCGGAAACCGGAGTGCTCCTGGAAACGAAGGGTGGCCTGTTGGATTTTTATCTGAGTAAACGTCAACCTGAGCAGAAGAAGAAGAAGAAGAAGATCTCTGATGTGAGCAACTCACAGGAAGAAGCAGCCAAACAAACAGATTCATGTGACTGATGAGGATTTATTTATCCTCTTTACAGGTGAAACAGCAGACGTGCTTCACTCACACCAACTCAAAAATACAAATGCACATGAATGTTTACAGCAAATGTGATGCTTTCACCATCAGAGTTTGACAAAGTAATAAGCTAAGAGTTGATCTGTCTCTGCTGCAGACTTCTGATCTGGCTTCATCTTTTCAGCTGAAAACATCTCGATATGCAACATTCACACTTTTACTTTACAAGCTGTAAAAACCAGAAGTTGAACAGATAAACAGCAGCAGTTACAGGGACCTGTTTAACCTCAATCAGTGCTGCTCAAAGTGAACATGGATGTATGTCTTTGTCAATAATTATTTCTATTTCCAGAAAATTGGCTCTGGACAATGTAGATCTGATGATGTTTAATAGGAGTGATGTCTGGGCAGACGAATTTCAAACAGCAGGGATCCTCAGATTCTGTTCACAGTTTACTTATTTCTTATCTGGGACCCAAAACTATCCATCCATGCATCATCTATACACCNCTGTGTGAACTTCATACGACCCAAAAGTGTCCTGCATGCGCAGAAGAGGACACAGCGACGTCACACGCCGCCACCAATGGTAGAAACAGAACTGTGACCACGAACTAAACTAGCATCAGCAGCCAAGTACTGCCTGTGCGTCCCGGCCACGTCCACTACGTGGAGCGCTCCCCCAGGGTGCAAGTGCCGACCTCCCCGACCGCACCGAATATTCTGATATTCATCATTAATTGGATCTGTGTTGTTCAGACTGTCATGAAAAGACCAGATACCGGTTGCATAGGAGCAAAAAAAAAAATCGGATTTGGGTCACTTCAGCCTGCTGTCTGAACGTATTTACCTTTGATGTCAACCGACGGGCCCGTGCACAAGTGCACCGGTCAATTAGGTGTGAAATCCAGCGATGTGTAGTGTTCTAACAATACACTAGTTATTATAAAAACTATTAAAAATATATATTAACAACAAATGAGCCTTCAAGCATCAAGCTCTCCTTGTATCTTGACCTCCGTCTTGACAATCCGACAGCCTTGCTATCCGACATAAAAGAAGGTTTTACATTTAGTGTCAGATTATCAAGTCATGACTGTACATCATGCCTTTTAAAGCTGCCAGCAGGATTTAAAGCTTTAGAAGATACTCAAGTAAAACTCATCTGGACAAAGTTTGGGTTTTTTCACTATTTTGTCTGCAGACTAACTCACACAGAAAAGACAGATAAGACTAACCAGGAGATTGAAAAAACGACGCAGAAGTTGTAGCAGCCAGTTCAGCGCACGTCTACAAGAAAAAACAGGCATCATTAGTTTCATGCAGACCCACAATCTGCCCTCATCTCTGTCCTGTTCCTTCAGTTACCCTGAGATGCTGTCGGTCACCAGCTCTATCTGGTCGGCTGTGGCCGTGCACTGTGGCATGGCGACATTCAGACGTCCTTGTGCTTTTCGGCTCAGACTCACTTCTATGTTGGCTGTGACACCGTCAGCTTTTAACTGATTAGTTCCAGAGCCATGACTGAAGAATTAAACACAGAAGAGTTACGACAGCAGACGGACTCCCACAAACATCGACAGCTGATCTGATCAATTGATTCATCCATTAGTTCTTTATAGTGAAACAGAAAGTTTACAGAAAGACGCAAAATGAGACCAAAAGATGCAAAATGACCAAAAACAGACACAAAACAAAGACAAAGACAAAC